ATGAAAGCCAGAATCGCAGGCGTATGTAACGTTATCCCCGCTGTTAAGTCCCCCAAGCACTTCGCTAGCACTGGCGGGCGTGGAGGGAGATGTGCATGTCTGGGCTGAAATAACCAGTCAACCGTGTATTAAGTTTATCCAATAAAACATTTATGCTGTCCTTACGTTTATTTAACATTAATGGCGTTTTTGGGCAGTTGTATATTTTCCTCAGTGACAAGAATGCACATTCATGTCACTGGTTTTATTTTAATCAGATTCTTATAATCCATAGCCATGTTGATATTTATTTGATGGGCCACTTAACTGGACTATGGGAAAGACATAGATTGACTGAAAAGTGATTGACATCACATTTACACTGTAACCCTTTAAACAACATGCTGCGAATTCGATTACCTCTGAAGCATATCAGGCACGATATTTATGCTTAAGTTTTTTTCAAATTTTTTGCGAAGCGCCAACTTCAAGCTGGAGGCAGAGATGCGACACATTTACTATTATATACACATTTGCACGTGCTTCACTGCATTATATAGTGTTGAACGAAAGTGTAAAAAACAGGCTTTTTACAAGCATCCTAAGCGTTCTCCAAATGAGGATGCATGGGGTTCGCAAAAATTTAAAGCCCTTAATCGTTGTCTTTCTTTCTAACATCTTTGTGGGTAAAATATTTTTTAACTTATAAAAATATTACCCCACGGTGGTTATTGCAATGTACAAAAGTGAAAATACTATTATACAAAATGGCTTTAAATTTGAATTTAAACAAATTAATATTGAACAGATTAATTTTTGTTTTAGAAATTTGATTTAGACCAACAGTTCAAATGAGCAACCAATTGACTAGAGAACGGAATGGCGCTATTGTAGTTACATGCACCAAGAGGCCTGCTTGTTGAGCCGCGTTTTATGGATTGGTCTACGAGTCTGCAAGCACAATTTTATCGACAAAGTACATCGATTTCCTTACTCAATCGGAAGATCGATAGTCTTATTATCAAATTTAATTGATAGATTGGTAAAATGAGGTAACTCTATTCAAATTTCGCCAGCTCACTCAAGAATTTAAAGCGGACAAGTGTTGGTGACATGGGACAGCTAAACAAGCTTCATATCCGCCACAAAGCCTGGAAGTGAGGGTAGACAAAAATCAATCGTTTTGTCTGGCAACGAAAGCTCATACAGCTCGAGCTCTGAAGTGAGGGGCACTTGTTAGCTAAGATTGAAATGACCAGATAGACGTATTCCTAGTTTAAGCGACAAGACATTGTGCTTAAACTTGCTTAACGTCTGTGATAGAAGAGCACTGCTGTATTTTTTTTAAACAAATTAAAATCGATGACTCACTCTCTCTCTCTCACCCTCTCTCTCTCTCTCTCTCTCTCTCTCTCTCTCTCTCAATATGCTTACCTGGTGTGAACGTAATAAGTACCACTGCAAGCACCTGTCAAAACAGAACATAGGAATATTAAAAGCCATATTTTCTATGTCTTTCATATCCTGCAAAGTTATTTTTCTTTCTCTATTCAGACCTTAAAAACAAAATAAGATTCTCAAATAAAAGTAGGTAATCCTATGACGATATTTAATCTGATTTTGTGCAGGAATACAGCGGGTGGTTCAAGTGACTGGCAAGTCAATCAGAAGTAAATCATTTGATTAAAATTGGCATAAAAAGCCAAGCCGATTGCAGGGGTGAGTGAAACAATAATTCGTGAGAAGGTAAATTTTACTTTTTTGAAAAAAGAAAATTCGATTTGGTCGGAAATGAGAACGCTTATTTCGAAGATGCGCGCATAGGGAAAAAAACTTATGAATAAAAAAAATCAGTGGTAGAGTCTTTAAAAAGAGTAATGCAGTTATGTCACTTATTTTATTGGCCTGTGCTTTATACAACGCGGGATAGTCATTGAATTTTCAATACGTAAATTCCAGAATTTGATAGATATAAATAATGCTGACTGTAATCTAAACTGTTACTTCAAGGTCCAGCATGTATCGACTCACCATTGCCTTTGTAGCATTCCCCATTTTTTGACGCCCTTTGGCCATCGAAGCGGTGTTGCTCATATGCTCCTGACTGCTGCTGCGAGGCAAATGCTGTCAAAGGCCCTATTATTTTTTATAGATGATTATCATGCAGCAAGATCTAAAGTCGCAATTAGTGTGAGTTCCATTATTACAATTCCAATGTTACATAATAAAAACGTCCCCTTGAAAGCCGGCGTCAATAAGAAGTGCAAAGGTCACTCCATTGATTAAAGGTCAATAACATGTCAATCGAATATAAATAATTGACCGATTTTGGCACCAATGAAGGGACCATGTCACAGAGTACCGATGTACTAAAGTGACCATTATAGACTTTCCAAAAGATTTTCTGTTGATCATACCGGTGTATGTGAATTGATGGCGACAATACCAGTATGCAAACAGTACCGCTGTCTAAATATGGAAAAGTTAATAGAATATAAGCCATAGATATATGTGTGAATATCTATACACAATCGAGATCGACAACTAGCACAACAGCTTCTAAATAGATTGTTTATTAATAGATGAGTTAAGACAAATGCAATGTTTTTCGTGTTGAATAAGTAACACAATAAAATATATGGCATTCATCTACGGTTTTTTACCCCCCCCCCCCCCCAACGCCCCAACCACCACCACTACCACCAACATCAAGAGGCGCAGCATTGCAGTGACGATGTGCTCAGTGGTGCTGGGCACCTGACACAATAGTTAGGAGCTTGTTTAAGCATTGGACAAAATTCGTTATTATATATGCCCAAGCCCTAAACATTTTAACTATATGGAGTTCGGTCTTTCTGTTACACGGATCCTCAGTTTCGTTACACTGGGATACGTGAAAGGTAAAATACATTTGAAAGTTTGGTCACAAAGTCATTTACACACAATCGTCTAGCAAATACACTGTCCCTAAGTAGTATGACATATTTGTGTTCTATAATTAAGCAGTACATTGTAGTACACGCAAGCACGTCCTTATCTAAAAAAAAAAACAGCTGTGCAGTCAAACAGTGTCATCTATCAGATAAACATCTTGTTTTTCCTTGCATCCGGTTTCACATTGAAAATACGTAGGTTTATACTGTGAATATTAATCTTTTCCAACATCGTACAGATATGTAGATATAGGGACGCTTTTTAATGGATAACTGTATCATTGAGATTCAATGCACGATGTCACAAGAGCCTCACAATATCTATACCTCCGACTCACTACGTTTGACCTGTTTTGATAGCGTTATTTACTATGTGCAACAGTGGCAAAACATGTCCATTTAAGTGGCACCTTTCCGACGTTCAATTCAACGCATTATGCACACCTGCGTCAGAATTACCGTGTTTTAAAACGATTATGGTCTAATCTCCCCTAGGACCTTTATGAAATTGTATTTCAACCAGGGAAAGGGTGCAGCGATACTTTGTTGACAGGTGACACATTTTCTCGATAAATACTGGCAAATACCCTCATTTCCATTGCTGGGGATAACAATAATGATGAATAATAATAGATACATTTTAGAAAGGAAGTAATAGTAGCAGGCGGTGTTCGGAAAATAATCTTGACCTTAAATCCTGTAGTGCCCCGCATAAAGTTGCCAGGTACCCAGCTGCAGTGTTTTGAACGATGCTAATGACGCATTGTTGAAAAGAGATAATATCTATGGAGATGCCCCTATGTCCCACGTTCCCAGCTGGGTAGGGTCACAGTAATGACAAATAGTTATAAACAATTGGTACTGTCTGCTGGCTGGAAATCCAGGCCAGAATAAGGTAGACAATACTGAAAATGTCCAGATTGACAGCCAGTCTTCATCGTTTTATTTTGAAGATTCCAAAGGCCGTGCGGATAGAGTATGTGTATAAGTAAACAGATTTTCCGTGTGTTTTTTTTTCTGAGCAGAGTTCATTATAAGATTATTTTGTCCACAATAGGGTAAATTTGGTCAAGGATGAAATTTATAAATGCAAAAATGCGGACACCGTTATAACTTTTCGGTGGAGAACGTACCAATGAAACTTTCAGGATATATTGTATCTTACGTAGAGATCGCTCTGGGGAAACCCAACGCCAGTTTTAATATTTTTTTTAAATGTCAACTCTTTGCCTGCTCGGGCTCATTGTTACTAGTCGTGGGGAAATCAACTTTTTATATCTTAACTGATTACAAAGGATTATTAAACTTAGTCCTTAAACAGAGTAGCAACATGACGACAAAACCTTTTCAGACTTCACAATATGCATTTAAATGGATTATAGAGGATTACGTGGCAAACAAACTACAAACAAAGACTAACGTAAAGTCACTTAAAGTACTTGTGAATTATTAAATATGTCCAACCATGGTCTTACAATGCGCAGTGATGGGTAAAGGCGCGTTTTTAAAAAGTTTTTCTTCATTCTCGATTTTCGCACACAGCGATGCGGTTCAATTTTTCACAATTAAAAACAAAGAAAGTTCAGCTTAACGGTACTGTTATCTTACTTTTATGTTGGAAAGGGAAAGTCTAACCAAGTGGCTTCTATTGCATGTAGGGCAATGAAAGTACAATCAGACACAGGTTTGAAAAGAGAAATTTTTGGTTGTAATCAAATTTTCATTTGAATTTTTTCTTTTCTTTTAAAAGCCTTTCAATTATTTTTTTCTACGTTTTATTGTAAAGTCTACCGGACAAATTTGGATATTGAACTCAAAATTATTATTATTATTATTATTATTATTATTATTATTATTATATTGTCTTGTCTTACATTACTATGATTTTAAATACAAATATAATTCTGTGAACCAGGTGAAACGATTATTTGGTTTCTGTTCTTCATGGTAAAACACAAAACTAAAATAAAGGACTATGATGTTCGTGCACTTAGATTTGTATTTCCAGCAGCCATGGATGACCATCAAATAATTCCAACAATCGTACATATTTTGGACGAATTAAACGAATACCACAAATGTGGAATATTTTTTCACTATATTACTGCTTGTTCAGAGGTAGATTCAAGAAGAAATTACATGTACACTTGTTTTGAGGAGTAAATTTGTTTTATTAATTCTGACGTTAGTTGAGTGCCAAAGTCCATTAAAAATGTTCATAATATGCAACTCTTTACCAGCAACTGTTCTCTTTCAAACCAACTTAACAGACATTGTTGGGTTGGGCGTTATAATTGTAATATGACCGAGGATTAAATGACGGCAAGGCATTTTTGAAGCATTTTGCGGCCTCCAGATCGCATTGGCAAAGCTTATATCTGCACTGGCCATAGAACCAATAATAACTCGGTGGCCCTGCAAGAGAAACATTGATATCTGTTATTTCCCAATAAGAATTAACATGTCTAATTGTTATATTAAATCTGTTCATTATTTAAACGTTTGTAATTTCCAATTAGATTTGACAGCTGTAATTGTTTACTTCTACCCAATGTGCTGAACCGATATTGGTTTGTTATAGTTCACAATATTGTTGATTCTTTAAACATGAATATTTAGTTAGGTTCTTTCTTAAACTAGGGTAAAAACTATCATTATAATATACACCCACAAGCCACAACGGGGCACTCTAACAGTCCGTCTGGTTTACGCTCCAGTAATGTGAATAATCACCAACACGTGAACATTTGTTGACCGAAACGGGGCAGTAAATCGTAGAGGAACACCCATCCAAAAAAGGAAATAAAATAAATCTGCACCCCTGTATTGTTGCCAAATTATTGCATACCGAAGCAGACTTAAGATTGGACTTTCAGCTGATCAATTGATAAACCGGCAAGAAATGATAGGATGTTTTGTGTCAGTGTATATTGCATAAAATGAAAAGCTCTGGACAACTTACTGCAAGTTGCGTCTGTTCCAGATCCGTCGCACCCAGTGTATGAATAAAAGGCGTAATAAGTATAACAGCTTCCTACTGTATTAAGGCACTTGTCATGAATCTTGCAGCACCTAGCAAAATGACAAAAGGAAAAAATGGGTATATAGTTAGAAAAAGAAGGTGGGTGTGTAAAATTCATGAAACCCATTCCCTCTCCATGCAAACCGGTTTTCTATTCTTCTGGAATGTAATGTTGACAGGGCGCCAAATATACATCTGTCAAATGCCAAATGTACTCCAAATTTACAATGAGCATAAAGTTAGTTTCTGGGAAGTGTTTACAAGTTTTTGTAAAATGTGGAATCTTACTCGTCCATCGCGTCCACCGTTTGCCCAGAGCCGCCGTAACCACAGTAACATCCATAGTCCGCCAGCTGGAATGCAGTTACGGAATCGGTATAGCACAGCACCAATGAGCCGAATTCTACAACTGAGTTGGCCTGCCCCCATTCCTTGGGCTTTTTCTTTGGAGCTTCAATATGAAAATATAAAATGGCCATTAGCTTTATATGTATTTTCTATTCACTATTTTGAATAACATTCGAGCATAGTGAATAAGATGAATATTTAAGCTAAGGTTTGCAGTAGTTAAGATTAATTATCAGAGAGTTTTCTTACGTAAATCTGTTATTTATTTATATAAAGGAATTCAAGGCTTTTTAAACATTTTTTTCACAACAAATAGAAAAAAACCGTTTCTCTTGATGAGTGAAAAACAAATAAACCTATCTAGCCCAACAAGAGAGTTAACTTTTAAAAAATTACATTTATCCGTTATTGGTGACAATATAAACTTAAACCTTTAAAACGGTTCTAGACGTACACATTTCTACTCCTTGTATTAAGAGGATGACTGCCACCAACATGTAAAACTTCATGATGTCAGAAACTTTCTGAGCTCCCAGTGTTGCGCTGTGATGAAAAATCGGTTAGGTCTGCACGTTGCGCGTTAGTATTTGACTTATATAGTCGAGAAATGACGCCCACAAGAGTTGTAGTTTTACAAACATGGTGTCAGTTCTCCTTTGATTGGATGCTGTGAATAAGCAATGTATTTTTCTGATAACAATGCGCAGAAGATCTTAACCATATATTTCAACTTGTCATGCGGCAGCGGAGCGTGACTTAGGTTTATACACCAAAACCACAAAGATGCAATCTTATAATGTCTGTTTACTACTGACGGGCATTAAATTTATCATAATTTAAATGGTTCAAGCCAAACCTTTTGCGTGTGTCCTTACAAAGTACCTAATTTGGCAACGGGACGCCTACATAATTATATGACATTTAAAACACAAATCTGAAAGATTTGATGACTAAGAAGATACAATTTTGATTCCATAGTCAAAAAGTTTTCGTTTATGATAGATCCAGATATTTGATTTATCTTTTTATATTATGTTTGATAATTGCACTTGTATTTCGCATTCAGGCTAGCCTATATTTTCATGCGCTTCGGTACGTTCATCCTATTGTTTGTAGCGCCAGCCGTGGTATAAGCTTGTTCCAACTACTCGTCGACCACGGCAATTACGCTCTTATATGTCACATACAGTGGATGACTCGCGTTGTAACTAGTATATCATTTAAGCCCCCTTTACACTGGGCGGCGTCCTTTCTGCGTCCAGCAGTACATCCCCATTTGAGAGTTAAAAAATATAATACTTTACGGCCGACAACTGGCCGATCATTGAGCATTCATTCTGATACAAAATCGATGCTTGTGCCTCCTTGTTAAGACCACAGCGATGCCAAATTTCATGGTCGCAGAAAGGACGCAGAAAGGACGCCTTAAAGGGGGTATAAGGAAATTTTTTTGACTATCAAAACTGAGATCAAATGAAACTTTTCAGTGTGAAAACGCGGTTATTTGCATGAACATTTGATGCTTGAGCAAGCGGGCATTTGCATTTACCAACCCACACTAAACCAGCGTGGTGAGTTATCACGGTTGAACTATGTACAGCATGACAGCACGAAATGCAAATAAAACCGCCAAGCGTGAAGAAGTCTTTGGAGGCCATCCAGCAGCAGTGGCGTGACAGACTGGGATGATGATGACGATCAAACTCAGGCTGCAATACATCGGACGTTCAGTTTTTTTTTATTGATTTTAAGAGAAGGTAATGTGGTCCCGGCGGGCAATCGGAGGTGAACTAAAAATGTACTGCTCTTTACAGTTTTAGAGCTGTTCCATTAGCATCCCTCAAATTTAGAGGGTTTACAAAATTTGGCATTTTCTATTTAACCAGTCTGTGATTTCCAAAGTGACTAATTTTGAACCATCCGCTTCATTATACATGAAAACGTTAACCTGAACTGTCAAAGAGCCACGTTAGCACAACAGTATTTGTCGAAAGCACGAAACACGTTTGAACTCATGAAGTGTTCGCCCCCCCCCCCTCCAATAATCATATCATGTCAGTAAGCATCCCAGTGTGTGTGGGAAAATTGTTAGTTCTGCCACTTGTACGCACGCACTGACCGAGACAGGCATTTCATCTTGAATCAAACCTTCAGAAGGAGGCATTTATAAGCATGGGTCAAGTGACATTTTAAAGGCATTAATTTTAATTCTTTTTCATATCTTTTATTTCTCAGATGCAGGTCACTTTACTCCCTGTCCCTTCTCCTTATTTTATGCTGATAAGTAAAGCACTTCAAGTGCGGACAGAGCCAAATATCTGCAACTGTCATATAAGGCTCCTGAAAGTTTATAAAAGCTTCAAAAAGTTTACAAAAAGTTTTCAAAAAGTTAACCCAAAAAAAGTACATTCGACAATAACTGCGCGCGCTGCGTAGTAGTTCCAACAAATTATTTAACGACACCTGTATAAGTAGATAAGATGGACCAGAAAAGTTTTCTGAAATTTTATTTACTTTTTGTTGTGCGAGCTTCATATTATCATTACTCATATTTTTATTATCTCTTTATCATAGGTAATATTGACGTCAACAGTAAATTTTGTCGGTCTGTTTTTGATTGATTGTCAACATGATTGTACACTTAATATCATATATCTTGGACAAATTATTTGAAAAAAAAGAGGTAAATGACAGGTTTTACAGCAGTGATATTGTAGTTCAAGGAGATAATACACATGGGTTGCGGCAGAACCTTGTTTTATTGCTTATGAAGTCGTGAACAGTTACCTCGGCATTGTTAATTTCAATTGAAATGGCGTAAAACACAAATACTACGGCGCGTGTGCAGTTCGGGAGTTAAGCTTAGTTTAATACATCCGGGCATGGGGCAGGTGGCGCCACAATCTCTGTACCGCGTAAATTATCTTAGCAGATGTGTAAGCAGAAGATTAGATAAGAAGAATCGATTAATATACAAGTTTCTGTTACAAAAATAATAAAAATTAATAAACAACTAATATTTCTCTTCATAAAACAATCCCGCCCTCTTTTAATATTTTTTTTCATATGAAAAGTAAAAAGATTAATTTTTTCGAAGGGGTAACCATTGTATTTTATATATAATTTTAGATAAATCGTTAATTGATTTAAATTCATATTAAAAGAAGTTCCAATCAGGACTTACCGGTACGCATTTCGACTCCTTGCATTAAGAGAATGATCACCATGTACAAGCACACGTAGAACTTCATGCTTTTTTTTACTGTCTGGACCAACAACGTCGCCCTGTAATGAAAAACTTTAGCAGATCTGCACTCTAATCAGACTTATATAGGCCTAGTATTGACATGACGCCCACCAGAGCCATCGGTTTACAAACAGTCTTCTCTCTTGTGATTGGATGTTACAAAGGAAGCACATGCATTTTCTGCTAACAACGTGCTTGGGTTTTCTAAGCAATGGTCTAAGGGCGCATTCAGAGCACTATCTAGTCTGCGGATTCAGTTTGTCGCTCATTGGATTTCCGCCTCCCATGTGACGCTCGCTGATCCAGCAGGGGCATGCAGAGCAATTAAAACTCGGCACGCTTTGAAGTGGGTGGCGCCATATTTGATCCGCAGACTAGTTAGTCCGCGGATCAACTGGCTTTGAACGCTCCCTAAAATTTGAGGCAGATCAGGTGGAGGATGACATATCTTTTTACAATACTACACGAGTTATTTCCTCCTCGCCTTATTTGTCCAATCGCGATAGATTTTGTCTGATTAAACATGAGAACCCAGTAGAAAACTTAGAAGTTACGTTTTATTTCCTTCTCGTGCAATGTTATTTTATATTTCCTGCTCACTATTTACAAACATTTTGTCTATTATCTATGGTCTAAGCAAACGCATCGACATGCGTCCTACAGTGTACCAAGATACCTATAAGTAAGGTGTCAAAATACCCAGGTTGGTGCATTTCATGTAATGTGTGCATTTTACTGCATAANATCTCACGTGATCTCATATGCAAATGAGGGTGGTAGAATAACTCATTAACCGCCGAATGATATGGAACGTCCAAACCCATTTTCCAACGTATCGAAGTCATGAAATTATTTGACGTTCAGAACACAAACTTGGGGAATGTGAGTATGACGACTTGGAAAGTATAAGTTTAAGTTAACTTTGATGAGTCTTTTTGGTGTGGAAACTTGGCTATCATTTCAATTTCTCCTGTAACCCCTCGTTTTTATTACCACATTATGGCTACTTCTCATTTCATTTATATATTTAATTGTTTAATATTCACTGAAATAAACTTTGTTGTACAAACTCAAAAGTTGATCCTTTTCATTTTTGTACGTCATAGTTCTCTCTGTGCCACTGTAACTAATAACTATTCCTTTTCATCCGTAAATAATGCTAATTTACCATCCGTAATTATTGTTTAATAAAAATTTTATCCAGCATAAAATATGTTTCATCAGAGATATTTTCTTTGGTTGTTAGTTTATATGAGATGAGTAAGAAGACTAAATGATAGAAAAATATTTAAAGCTAGGTAGTTTTTTAAAAACTTAAAATATATAGGCACCAAATCATTATGGTCGGAAAATATGAGTTTTGATTAATGGTTAACCAAGTATTTATATATATATATATATATATTTCATTTTTTTTACTTTTAAACATGCAATACTTAATCTCTCAGTTGAAAAATTGCTAATAAAAATATTTTGAGTGCAATAAGCCATAAAAAAAAGAAATCCGTCCGCAATTCAATGTTCACATTATTCAAGTTTAAAGCTCTATAAAATCACAAATTACAGCTTAATCTTTTATAAATCCCTTTGCCTTGAACTCTTCTTTTTCAGAAAATGTAGCTTATTTGATCGACTTTTGCATATTAGCTAAGTTTGTGTACGAGACAAATACCACAGAATGTCCCGTACACATATTGAATCAAACGAAAAAAAAAAAAAAAAGAAAATCTCTTGATGAATCAAATTACACACTTTACTTAACGATACATACTTACATAATTTGATAACAGGCAAATCTGATTATTTTCACGATTTACAGCTTTCCTCTTTGGACTGGTTAATTCTGTTCACAGTTTTACAGACTATATCTAAGAAACTATTCCGAACCACCTAATAGTGCTTAAGGTGAAGAGAATAATTGGTTTAAAGGCCACTTTATATTGCACACAATGCATAGTGGGAATTCAATAACTACCACTGCACAAGTATTTACAATATTTAATATTTAGAACATTATTTTTTGAGACAAGACACTAAAAAATATTATGGTGAAAGGACATTTTACAATACATCCATCAAAGTTATGGAATACTGTACCTAACGTCCTGACATAAGAACTGCAAATGGCTTGATAATAATAATAAATCTGCCTACAGTGACTGATACAGGAATGTTGTACAACCTAAATTTGTTCATCATCATAATAAGTTGTATTAATAATAATAATTAACTCAGATAAACAAAAATTATTTTAACTCTTAATTTGAAAGGTGCACTGTGATTTCAATGAAATGCAACAAATAATAATTGATTGTCATTATTATTTCTTCTTACACCTACTTTTACCAATGGCTAGGATTGAACAGGCACAACCTGGATTTCAATTTAAACTGATTAGCACTAGATCCTTCCACATCACTCCATGTATGGCACAATCAAATACAAGTAACTGTTTGGATAGGCTAAGAATTAATTATGTAAAGAATTTAACAACAAAAAATACATATTTCACATGTTCTGGTAAACATGAACAGGCCTGTTAAACAGACTTGTATTAAATACAAATGTAACTGTTTTTATTGTCACTTATGCAATCTGCAATGTCAGAATGACAAAGGATGTTCATACAGCACGTTTTCCTTGTATTAATTACATGTATCAAAGACTTTAATCAGTAGTGCATAATGTCAGTTTTAATAAAACCAATCATAACTTTCTTACCCTGCTTCAAAAAAAAAAAAAAAAAAAAAAAAAAAAAAAAAAAAAAAAACAGTACTATTAGAGACAGTCATATTTAGAAATAATGGACAAAAAATCACAGATGTATAGACCATAATATTCTACATGATAGGATGGTCTTTGAAAATAACAGGATAAAATTTGAAATAACTCCACTTCTAGGAATCTCAACAATAGTTATGTCAAAAAAGTAAAACTCTCTCTCACACCATATTTAAACATCTACATTCCTGCTACTTATAAACATCCATAAGAGACCGCACGGTGAGTGCTTTTTTCAAAGAATTGAGATCAGTTGTCTCCCAAGCATAAAACACTATGTTAGTTGTAGACTGAACCATGAGGAAACTATTGTCAGAAAATCTTCCCAAAATCCCGTTGGCTTCCAGCCAAACAAAGGGAGCAACTGCTGCTGTGGTTAATTTTATCTGATATGTTTGGGAGTCTTTTTGTGTCACTGTTGAAATCTGAAATATGAAAAAAAGTCTAAGAGCTAAATACTTCTGACTCAGAGGTAAAGAATTCTAAAACCAAGGTGTAGCTTCTAATATAAATTAAGGTGTAGAATATAATGCATTTCTTTATGTGAAATAAAAAGTTTATTGATGAATGACAAATCACTGGTGACATAATTTATAATACAAACATGATATAAATATGCTCGTAACCTAATTTTCAAAATTTTTGCATACACGTACATGTGCCTCAGGACAGGTGAATTTCAAAATAACCATCACTATCAGTGCTTATCTACTCATTTTGTTATACTGAGGAAAACATACATCAGTGAAAAGCTATATTATTTGCCAAAGTAACTGCAAGCAAATAAGGCAAAAGAAAGTGACTGAAAACTTACATAAAAAAAAAAATCCAGAAATTAAAGTCATGAACACCATTTTTAATACTTTGAAATGCAATAGGAAGCCTGTTGCTAAACTTACCGTTACATTTGGCTTCTTCATCCCAACTGCTGTCTTCAAGGGGACAGGTAAAACCCAGTTTCTCACCTCAGTGTGGACATCATTCAAAAAGAAAAAGAAAACACAGTGCTGCAGGCTGCTGCATTTGGCCGTCTTCAGCATAGCTGTGACATTGGCTTGAAATATCTGGCTAGCTGCTACTTTGGGCTGTGAAAATTAAAATATTTTTATATTATTAACTGGTATACCCTTTCCAAAATACTCTTTAGAACATTCAATAGGGGTCTATAGGAATCCTATAGGATTCTATGGAGCTCTGTAGGAATTCAATTGTCTGCCCTATAGGAGTCCTACCTAGGGCATATGTCCTATAGGACCCTACAGGATTTGGGGCCATTTTCTCAGGACATACAAAAGGACCCTAATAGGAAAATTCAGTCAGGGTAGGTAGGTAGGTAGGTAGGTACGTATGTACATACCTACGTACATACATACATACATACATAATTGCAGGGGGTAATGTACTATATTTTACTATAATATCTCATCGAATAATACAATCAAATTACTCAAGAATTCAATAATTAAAACAGCAAAAATGAGCAAAAAAAAAAAAAAAAAATATATATATATATATATATATATATATATATATATATATATATATATATATACTCACAGCATCTACTTTTTGTGTCCATGTATAGAGAGGTTTTAAGTTGTCCCAGCTATAACATTGAATGTACAGAGTGTTACCAGACTTCTGTAATGCCCTGCCTGATGACAGTGTGTCCACAACCAAGACAACCTTGAGCACAGCGCCATCTATGTATGGTGAAACCAGAACAGGACTGAAGAAATGCCTGGCGTAGTAGTGCAGCATTTTCCATTTTCCACCATATTCTGTTGCCAGTAAATAAAACCAACAATATTATGCCACACATTTACAATCATTAATTGATGTAAATTGACTTATCATGTAACTTTGTGATTTTTTTTAAACTGTGTTAACTTTTTTAAGTCTCAAAGCCAGAGGTAGAAGTAGGGGGGGGCTTTTTATGAGAAAAGCAGTTTTTGTGCTATTATGTCAGAGAACCTTGGCTAAATTTTGATTCAAAATGGACAGATCACACACACCCCCAAACAGTTTTCCACAGGCTTGATAACTATGAATTAATCTGGAATTGACTGCAGTACTGGTAGACCAAATTTCAGACCAATATCAGATTAAACTTTTCTTTGACACAGCCCTATAAGCTTACTGTACCTATAGATGCCCATGAGGGTGCTTGCCATATATCTTGTAACTGCCAATAGAGGGCTCCCATGGTCATCCCAACGCCATTTACCACTGTGCTCTGACTTCTACGAAACAGCTCAGTTTCTGTCTTTATGCTCATGGCCTGGTTTATCTGAATAACACAGCATAATGCCTATTATAATATATTGATAAACTGTGGTCTATACTATAGTAAATATGTGTCATGTTATTCTTTAACTTCAGACCCCAAGTCTGCATCATTAAAAAACTTATTTCAGTGTTGGGATAAAATCTTACCATATTTATGGATAGGTGTCCAGTATTTTGAATATAAGATTGAAGGTAAATATGTATATTATTTAATTATAATAATTTAAACTACTGGACAACTGTCTTACCTGTGTAAGATATATGTAGTCTTTAAACTGCTGGACTGGATCAGGGTTAGATGGTAGATTTAGATAATATCCCAGCTGAGTCACCATCTGCTTGTTTCCTAAATTATAAAATAAAGTTCTTGAGTTTGGAAGATTTTGGTGAGATGACCTGTTTGAACTTAACTTTTACCAGGTGAATTATTCACAGATTTATCCAAGAGTCCCATGAGAGTCCTATGATCCAAATACCTTTGAAGGTGTAGTCCTTCTTGTAGTTCACCCCTTTTGATGTACCTATTCACGGAGCCAAGAATGTGTTTCTATTCATAACATAACTAAGATCAAAAGTGTGTACTAGCACAAATTCATAGTTTTTTGAATGGAAATTACAGCATATAGCAAAACAATATCATATTTTAAGTTTTGATCTGATGAATATGAAAATAATACCAAGGTACAGTAGTACATGTTGAAATTTTCATGGCTGTAAAATTTCATGAGATCTGAATACTGATAACTGAATACCACTGCTGTCTGCGATGAGGTGGTAGAATGCTACGACAGATGGACAAGCTGATTTTTTAAAACAGAACACTACATTTATTTCATTGAGGGGTACGTTTTAACAGTTACAATCACAACAACAACAAAAAACATTAAACCTACCATCACCATGATGTTGCCTGTGGTCACAAAACTCGCTGTTGTAATTCCAGTCCTCTGTGACGCTGACTTTCTCCAAATTTTCAAAAGATGGCCAAGCCTCAAAGCCATACTCCGAACAGAAACGAGGGATCTGATAGTGATTCCACTCCCAACTTTTAGTACCATAATCATAATGATGTACTGATGGGGAAAGGAAAAGAATTTATGGGAATATATTTCTTGTTTAAAATTATTGCTGAAATAGTGGAGTACATATTGAAGGTTAACTCTGGCATATATAAAGCAGCAAATTATTAATAAAAATAAAAATTTTAATCAGGTGCAAAAATTATATTAATTAAAAAAATTAATAAATATAAAAAAACTCACTGTCACCAAAATGGACGTCTTGTGGTTGCTTAGCAACCCATCCCTCCTGCTGAGTCTCAATCCCATTGGATGGAGAGGAGGGAATAAACGGTCTCGTTCTATCCAGCTTTTGTGTTATATTCATAATATTGTCAATATACAAAGTGACATAGTCTGCCTTATACCTCTTGAAATCTGTTATATTATACCTAAAATTTAAAAAATATATATTCAGCTGTTCTTTCTGACAAAAGTTCTCACATTAACTACATCAATATAGGCCTACCAGTAGAAATATGAGCTATAGATATACAGGTAATAAATAAAGAAATCAAGTGTCCTTAATTTAATTCAGTCATTGTGTATAATTATTTAAAATTGCTTTACTTATTCAAACATAAAAGCATTCTTTTTGGTTAAATTATTCAATTAAACACATTTTGCATGGTTCTTGGTATCAAAAACAACTATGTTTTCTCATTTAACAACAAAAATGCACAACAGAAATGGCAATAATTGTGCTTCATAACAAAAATGCCATTAATTAACATGGAAATGATTTTAAAAGATAACTAGCTTGAAGTATGTGTTCACTGCAGTCAGGCTAGAATAAAAAATTTACAGAAAAAGTCACCATTTCACTGTTACAAACACATCAGTTTTTTTTGTTTTTGTTGCTAAAAATAATGATACTCAAATGAGCCAAAGGGTAAGTGGAAGATATAATTTCAAAAGCAAAAAGAAAAATAAATTCAAAGGTGAATAAAATGAGGAATTGAAAATAGGGCAAAGCCAATCAATATTTTCTTCAGAGGATCACTGAAGCATTTACCAGTCAGTCATTAATCCCCATTCATTTTCATTATTCCCACTCCACAGAGCTACAGAGGGATGGTGCTGTAATCGGAGCACCTGTAAGGGACATGGTGAATTATCAAGAGCAATTGATCAGATAAGCTAGATATGTTGGTGTGTACAGCACACAAAGGAAAATTATAGCAAAAATTATAAATTAAAATCACAGCGACTACAGCAGCTGGTCCAAACCAGCTTTCAATTGGCTTGCTAGAAAAGCACCTATAACTGAAAGTAAAACAAGTCTTAAGCTTGACAAATGCGCATAGCCTTGATGTCCTTTGGAATTCCAAACAGGTGTTTCACCTTCAGGTTGCAATAAGGTGAAAGATACTGTTGCAATAGAATATACAACTGAAACTGATGGAAATCCTGCGCTTGACATGATGTCTGCCAGTACTTTGAACAGGTGCTTCACATTCAGGCTGCAATAGGGTTCCAGGCACTAAAATCTATTGGGGGTGGGGGAAGGGAAGGGCAGGGGAGTGGAGGAGAGGAGAGACCCTTGGTTACCCACAACTGCATGCTCAAATGCCAAAATCACTTGCGCTGTTTATTGCCACATTGTTTTCAAGATTGATGCCATAAATTTATGTTAGCAAGCAAGCAGCCTGTCAAGCAATGATACACATCTCACCAGTTGTTGGCAATAGCGCCCTCGTTCTCATTGTTGCCGCTCCACACTGCTATGCTGGGATGCGCCTGGAGGCGCAGAATCTAATATATTGTAAGAAAAACATCAACAAATGCAACTTGTATTTTCAAAACATAATTTGCAGTATTTATCACTTTGTAGATAGAAATAGACCAAGTTACAACTGATGATGAGCCAGCCAAATTACTGCCGCTGTAAAAGGCAAGGAAATATAACAGCATGCACGTAATTTTTTCATTTTATTACTTTTAAAACAAACTATAATATTTATATAAACATGCAGGTTTAATGTAGCACTCCCTGCTCAAATATTAAAAAATAATAACAAAAATAGTAACAACAGATTGAAAGGAAATAAAATAACTAAAATAATAATAATTATTATTTTTTAATAATAGCAAAAACAAAAACAAAGAAGCTCATTCACTTGTTCTATTTCTTTCTCACAATAAACAACTTACTTGATGAGTAACTTCTGTCTGTATACTGTCCAGGAAGTACTCATCTACAGGATACAGAGCACAAGCAAACATGAAGTCCTGCCAGATAAGAATACCCAGCTCATCAGCCAGGCTGTAGAATGTTTCACTCTCATATATCTGAAGGATGACAAAACCGACAGTGTTGATCTCCAGCTAAATTAATTAAAAGCAGTGCCCCCAGTTTTAAAGAGAGTTGGGAACTAACCTAAAATAGCTACTAGATGTATGCAGTAGTAGCATACTAGTATGCTAGCCAGGCTGCTAATGAAAAAAATCATTATATGAAATAAAAAGTATGAAATAATACTAAACCTCTAGTAATAAATATGAACTGTAGCCTCTGAAGCCTCTAATAAAGCCTCTGTAGCCTCTAATATCATTCCCTTGACACGTATATTTCAGGGGCAGATGGAGGCCATCTTCTGGGTCTTCCGGAATACGATCAGAATTTTTCAAGTTTACATTGATGGGCACATATTTTTTTCTGTCAGAAGATGGTCAAAAAATGGAGGATGAATCAACAAACAAAATAATATAGAAGACTGTCAGAAAATTTATCTGGATCCGCCCCCGTCTTTGTACCTACCCCACCACCCCACACTCTCAGCATGTTCATGTGCACTGCCTGTGCTGAGGTTAACAGACTGCGTAAGTATTTTGGGGTGAGCCTCTCCTGGAAGCTGTCTGCAGGAATCCAGTTAGAACCCTTCATAAAGATTGGTTTGCCGTTGATTTTGAAGTAAAATGAGAGCCCTGAAAAAGATTCAACTTGCAATGGATTTCTGTAAAAACAGGTTCATTTTAATTATGATTAAAATGGGGTGAAATTTGCACTTATGTGCAGACCATGAAAACCATAGACATGTAATTAAGGCCGAGGACATGGAAAAGGTCAAGGCTGTTATGTCTATGCACAAGTGTGTGTGTGAAAATTATTACTGTAACAACTTCATTGGTTGATCTCAAAATGACAGGTGGGGTGGAGGGGGGGGGGGTTAGTTTATACTACCTCATGAATATGAAAATTGGTTAATTTTATCACATACCACTTGCATTTGGTATTTTATCCTGTATCAGTTCTACTGTCCTGAAGCCAACTCTCACCCTCTTGGCAGTGAGTTCACTGGTAGTCTGACTAGTGAACAGCACTTCTACATAATACAAGGGCTGTTCACCATGTCCATTCGGCCACCAAGTCTTCACTTTACCCTGAAATAATAATAAAACTCATCATTTCTGATCCAGCCAGAATGCAGTGCATTTCAAGTACACAGTTTTAAATGGAAACATTAAAATGATTTTAAATACTAGAAATGGGAATGTTTGGCGATAATAAGACTCCTTTTCAAAAATCTTGACAAACATTAAAGCATACCAAGTGTTCATTTTTGCCCAAAAATGGATTTTCCTGGTTTAAACAATTTTCCCATACTTACCAAAGTTTGTCCCAGTTTTTTTTTTTCCTAAAAATTTTGGAAACCAGAATAATTGCCACTGTTTTTGTGGTAAATTTTTTGTGGTAAAAGTGTGAGTCATTTAAAATGTATTTATTGTGAAATACAAATATTTGTTACCCCTTAAAAAAAAACTGGAACAACTGAAAACAAAATCTATTTCAGCAGGTGTATACAATGTGTACGTGAAAGTCCAGCTGAGAGAGAGAGAGAGAGAGAGAGAGAGATAAAAAAATACCTTATCAATTTTCAAAGTTGCAGTGATATTCTTCACCCCGCCTCCCACAGTGGTGGACAGTTTCTGTACTAGCCCCACCTCAGGTACTCTGATCTCCAGAACACCAGGGTACTTGCCACTGCCATACAGGTCAAAGAAAGTGTTCACACTGAGCATCCAGGAACTGTAGTCACCCACTGCAATAAAATAATAATAATAATAATAATAATAATAATAATAATAATAATAGTTGTTGTTGTTGTTGATGTTATTATTATTATTATTATTATTATTATTATTATTATTCATACAATGCTGATAAAAAGCAATTTTTCATTGAGATTTGTTTTTCACTCTTTTTTGAAAATTTATTTACCAATTAAGATAATTTGGCCTAATATTTCTCTAATCAAACATTAGACAAACTTATACTAATTTATAAATATATATATATATTCATACTATTGTCTCTACTTATGCACAAACAATGTTTTTTTTTTTAAATGAGACAAAAAAACAGAAGACCAATTCCATACCAGGTTTTGTTTCCACCATAACAGCCTCTATGACAACTGAGTTTGATATTTCAACACTGATATTTTTCCTAAGGTAAAAAAAAACAAACTGATGTAAAACTATAAATGATGGTAACTAAGGTCTTTATCACTACAAGTGGTTGACTTAACTGGACCAGTCTATTTTGCGAGGGCTTCATCATTTTTAAAGGTCTGAAAATGGGATAAATAAATAAGTTTGCAGGCTATTAAAAAAAAAAAAAAGAAAATGTCTTTAAAAACTTTCAAATGTTTACAGACTAAGCGCACCTACAGTAATATGGTATATCAAACTCACCATATCCCTATAGTAGGGAAAGCTGGCCCCCAGTCCCAGCTGAAAGAGCACTGTTCTTTCCTGATGAAGTTCACATGGCACTCCCCATGCTGGACCTCTGGGGGACACTCAGGGGGCACCTTGTATTCCCAGTGTTTACTTGCCATGTCTGAGGCATACTTCACTGGAGACTGGTACACTAGCTTCACCTCATTTGGGCCTGCCTTTTATAGCACAATAATATTGAGTTTTACTTGACTACATATATGTATAGTGCATACATGAATGAAAGTATAACCATACCCATACATGAACATGTAATGTACCTGTATAATACAATATACATGAATAATGGTACTTATCGAACATATTTTATAAACATGTATGATTATGAACTTATATATAAATTTCAAGGTTTTAAAAATACGAAACATATACCTCATATGTGTGTGTGTGTGTGTGTGTGTGTGTGTGTGTGTGTGTGTGTACTATATGAGTATGTGTAACAAGGTTAAACTTGAAATAATCTAGATAAAGGATACATGACAAGTGATGATATAATAGGCCTTCTTATCTATAAATCTACCCATGAAAATGAAAGCTAATTAGTCTGTACAACACTTGATAATTTAAAAACATTTTTATGCTTGACGCAATTCATAACTGAACACATAAGGTTTATAAAAAGTTACCTTTATTAGAACTGGTGCTGATTCATCTTTTACTAGCATATTCTCAGTAATGTAAAGTAATCATTATAAACTAATATCCATATTATTTACATAACACTTATACCTGCAGAAAAAAATTCTTCTATATAAATAAAATAACTTTTTTTCAAAAATGTCAAAATACCATTATTTTTCAAACATAGATACCTTTAAGGTGTGCTTGATGTCAAACTTGTATTTGACAAACATGTTGATTGATTCTCCAACTTTCTGGTTATTAACATAGACAGAAGCCACAGTATCCAAACCATCACAAACAAGTTTGATTGAAGAAGCTTTCAGCATTGGTGAGGTAACTGGAAATAAACAGGAAAAAATATCACAACAGGATATTAACAAAATACCAATATGAACTAACAAATTTCAGAAATATATTCACTTAAAGACCTAATTTATCAGAATGCCAGATTTATTTCCAATGGTAATGATCTTTTTTGTTTGTGTGTGTGTGATTTATATACTTCTGTATGAGCTTATTGCAGCAAGGATGTCTTATACATGTACGTCCTTGTTTGCAGAAACAATTTCCAAGCTTGAACTGACAAACTCAAAATCATAGCTGTTTTTGTTTTTTGCAACTTTCAATAAGCTTTTAAAGACAAGTTTGCAGATTACACCTTTTACACCATGGTGTACATCTACTAAGTTGAGACCTGTGCTATCAAAATAAATGAAAATCTCACAGAATGTATCAGTGCTAGTAAATGATTATTATCATTTTTTCATTAAGTTCTAAAACGTGGACAAACGTGGTCTATAAGACCCCCCCCCCTCAACCAATGCTCTTCCTGTGCTTATGACTGACACAACTGGAATAATGCAAGCTGCATGTATGTGAATGTAGGGATGGGGGTTAAATCTCCCCCCCCCCCCCCAAACACAACCACAACCACACCCATTTACACCTTTGCCTTGAAGACATTCATATACTAGCAGTACATGTTCCAGATACCTGTAAATGTTCTTGTGAATGTCCAGTCGTCCTTGGCCACCCATCTGTACTCCTCATCATTGAACCTGTAGTATGGGTCCTTCAGGGTGCCGTTTTTGATCAGATCTGTGTATATACTGCCTGGCACGGTGGAGGACACGACAATACCTAAAACCAACATGATCTCCTACAAGCGTGACTAATCAACTGCTTTAATTTGTGAATGTTACATAATGAGTTTATAATAAGTACTGAGTGATTGGACTTAAATAGCTCAGATACGCACATGTTTCAACATCAAGGCTTATTCTGCTACTATACTGGTTTTACGTGAGACATGCAATGAAACTGAGGCAAACAAAATGTGCGGCATGCAGGTATACTACCGGTAGTACATCGGGACATCAAATGAACTTCAACTTAGTTACATGTATTTGTCACATTCAGAGCAACATTGAATCGATAAGCTATAATCTCATGTGCTAAACATGTCGACCTACTTCCATTGCTACTCTTGGCAATCCATTCCCCGTTTAGACTGATTTGTGTATGCGACAGTGTGCACACAAAGCAGGAAATTAGAAGTAATAAAACTCGGAGGCCCCCAAGAGCCATTTCACCCTGCTTTCGTCTTGTCACGTGAAATCGCTGTATTTTTTTTCAGTGTTCCAAACAAAAAAGAGCTTAAGTGTAGGCCAGCGACTGGCTTAGTTGAGTTTTAGGCTAGGATACTAGATATCTTGGATCCTAGGTGTAGTTTTCGCGAATGCTGTTAAAAAGTGTATTTCCAATTTTTAAAAATGCTGTGGTACAAGTTTATATAGCTCGACTCGTGAAAATTTTCTAAGTGGGATAATGAGCGAGCAAAATCATGTGACCTGGTCATTTGTACGCCGTACGTGAATTGCACGGTGTGTAGTCCTGTAGGATTAATGGAAGTCCGGGCTCCCATATGATTAGTAAGTTAGTACAGGTTATGGTTATAGGAGGAGTATTGGGGCTAGTGCATGGGACGAATATCGCCCGTAATACCATTCCATGCTGTATACCTGTCACACCTGTAGGGGCCTACTAACCCGACACGTACCGGCAGCAAAAATGACGGCAATATGGGCGTAGTTTTTTACGTTTAGGAAATTACTCCCAGTCAGAAATTTGTCTACATTTTTCTGATCAACCTTCCAATAGGTCTCTTAGTTTGGTGGGAATAGGGTAAACAAGCAAACGAGTGAACTGATAAATAAATAAATGATTAATCAAACATTTTAGTAATTTACGGATGGGCCGGTCGACGCATTTCACGGTGTAAGTGTAACGCAAAAAAGGGGGCATGTATCATATCTCTATGCGGTGAACGCCTGGCTAATCCACCACATCTAGGGTACTGATATTTGAGGTCAAAATATAGAATTTGTTTTGGGTTACATTTTTAGAACAGAAAGGTCAAAATCTAGAACTCGTTAGCCTAGGCTTAGACCCCATTCCCACAGATTTTAGATCGATCTATCCCTGTGGGGAGTCTAACTAGATTACAGCTTTTTTATTTTTTGTCTCACTAGATTACAGCTTACTAGTAGGCGGGACAGACACTTAAGCCGGATTATCTGACAGTAATCTAGTGAGACTGCCCACGGGGATAGATCAATCTAAAATCTATGGGAATGCGCCCTTAGAAGCATAGTAGGCCCCTACCTACCTGTATAGTACTGCGGCGAATCCAGGATTACTTGAAGGGAAATGGGGTCCGCGGATGCAAAACCTACTGGACCCGTTGAAGGGCCCCGATTTTTTTTTTTTTTTTTTTTTTGGGGGGGGGGATAGGGTAAAACAAGCAGATGGGTATTTTAGAGCGCGAACGGTGCCATTTGGAACGGTTTAGAACTATGATTCAGCCAATCAAAATTCTAATTTCAAGAGGGGACCATTGGTGTGATTTTTTCAGAAATCGAAGGGAGGGCCAGGACCCCCTTGAACTCCCCCTAAACCCGCCACTGATTTTAGAACATCTTGAGGTCACAATGTACCTTTATAGAATTCATTTGAAAAGTCCGAAATGCAGTACGTACATGTGTGCCAGAACGCCTTATAAATACTTAACGATACTTCTCCCCCCAACAAAAACACACAGATTCACACACACGCACACATGTGTGCGGACCTTTTCAAAGTCGTCCCCTTTTCAGCGATTCCTAGGTTGCCTTAGGGAAGGGCAACTTTTGTCAAATAAAGCTATGGTTTCTAAGCAGCTACCTTAAAAGTCTCACACTGCCAGATAACGTAACGTCAAAGAGGTACAAAGACTTCATTGCAGGTTTTATCCAAGCAGTTACTTGACCCAATTTTTAGAGCAATCACAGTACAGGTACACATGTTGATGGCCCTACATTTTGACCTGCGCCGAATCTGAGGTAATCACCCAAACACTCGCCTCTTGATCGTATTTTGGTCTTGAATACAAAAAGGTTCGGTGCATCACGGTGCAAGTGAAAATACCAAGAGGCTTAGCAACAAAATTGATTCTTGCACTTAACTCTCAAAGCTGCGTTGATTCTTGACCATGAGTATTCGAAGTCTGTTCCCCGATGTTCACATCCCAGATAATGTAACTCTGCATGAACTCGTGCTCAGGTATACAGATAGCTACGGAGACCTTCCCGCAATCGTAAGTACAGATACTGATAGGGCTACGGTGAATGTGTGGATGTACCAATTGGTGGCATTACCTCTCCTACTCATAACCACAGAGATGGACCCCATACATATATGCACAGTAGTACAGTGGTGGTTCCGCAGGGTAAGGGGGGGGGGGTCGGAGGGGAGGGGGTCGACACAGCAGCAGTCACATATATATGCCTCTCCCGGCCCACGTTAATGAGGTTCAGAGATTCTACCGTTTCCATCTCAAATGAAAACAGTACACATTGTAGCAAAAATTTATACACGTGTGTGTGTGTGTGGGGGGGGGGGGGGGGTTGACACAGCAGCAGTCACTTGTCACTCTCAGCCCACGTTTATTAGACTCCATTCCCATACCTAGATCGATCTAGCAGGATCGACCCATCTCCGAGGGGTTTCTCGCTCAATTGCTTTCAGCTTAAGCGGCTTAGATGCCTGGCACGCTTACTGCTAAACGATAGTTAACCCCTAGCAGATTAAGTAAGCGTGCCTGACACCAGAGCCGCTTAAGCATCATTATTTATTTATTTATTTATTTATTTATTTATTTATTTACTTATTTATTTATTTCATACTCACATACACATCTTCAGATTGACGGAGCGGCCAAAAAGACAATCACGCACAGACAGCTCAAGGACTATGTCCGGCGAGTGACCAGTGGTCTGGCGAGGGCAGGGCTGAGGAAGGGTGACGTGTTCTGTATTTATACACCTAACTGCCCAGAGTACATTATAACCTACCTGGCCGTGATCAGTGCAGGAGGAAGCTTTACCACAGTCAACCCCGTGTACACATCGTGTAAGCATTTATGATGATAATATTGATAATTTAATTAGCCTTTTAACATAAATTGTTGACATTGTTGCTCAGAAAAGATTTATGGTGATAGTATTGATTATTTAATTAGATTTTTACATAAAATGTTCAGTTGTGTTATGCTATAAGAATAATGCAGTGATTCACCAATGCCAATTTTCTTGGTCTTCAAGGAGAGTATGTAATGCTTCCAGCGCTTCCAGCTCCTCCGTTTCTCTTTAATAGACTTTATTTTAAAAAGATGATTCACCAGGACAGCCTCATTCCTTTATGAAATCGAAATATTGGAGGGAAGGAACAATTTTAAATACTAACTGTTGATTGAAGTCAACTTGAGAAGAAGGAAGTTTCCTAGCCTCAGTCCAGCCCACGCATCTATGGACTATTATTCTCCACTTAGCTTCTTTTTTGTCTTTCTATTTCGATCACCGCCCCCTATCCGAATTTTAATTTGACTCATTTCCTTACAAATGACAAATATAATCTGATACATGCTTAAGGAAGTAATAAAACTATTATTTACAGGACCTGTTGTATTGACTCTACAAATTCGCCAAGTCTGTTTCTTTTTCTATTTTTCAGATGAACTGGATACACAGTTAAAGAATTCCCAAGCAAAGTACATTCTCACCATACCCAGCCTAGTGAAGAATGCACAGGTCGCCGCCGGACACAGCGGGAACGTTAAAGTAAGAACATAAGTTATTATTATTATTATTATTATTATTATTATTATTGAGAGAGAGAAAGACGAATGGATGAATGGAGGGAGGATATTAGCCACATGGAATCGAGTTACTATTATCTTACAAGAACTGGGATAGTTTAAAGGAATTCTAGTCACTAATAAAACCTGGCTACTGCGTGTTTTTATCAAATAGAAACTTGTATTTTTATCACCTGTCTCTTAATATTTTTTTTTCAGGAAATCTTTGTTCTCGGGGAGGTGCCAAACTGTCGCTCGTTCTCAGAGTTGATGAACGACCCTGGGGACGCGTACCCCACCAACCTAACCTTCAATCCCATGGAAGACGTGTGTGCCATACTGTACTCTAGCGGCACTACAGGGTTACCCAAAGGAGTGATGTTGACACATTACAGCGTCGTGGCTAATATTTTACAGTAAGTACTACTAGAGCTTATTGTTTTTAACGGAGATCGTGGCTGAAATCTTAATATTGCGTACAGCAGTGCTGTTTTAGTGTTTATTTCTTCCTTCTGTATGCCACACTTTAATTTTAATAAATCAGTGGCACTCATGGAACAAGCCTGCTACGTGCACATTTGAGGAAATGTTGAGTCGTCACGAACGGCTTTGCATGGCATCTTTTGTGGTTCATCTTCTAATGATAATCTGTCGAAATAAACCTTTCATTATATTAAACTTTGAAACACTTGCCCACCATTTGCTTATGTATGAACACATATTTTATTACATTCAATTGATTAATTACTACATATATAGTCTGTCTTATAAGACAGTTCATCAGCTTGTTTTTTTTTTTAACTGAAAGAGAAAAAAATTCTGTTTCAGAATGCAAGGCAATGCAATAGTCCGCCCCCCTGGGTCAGACAGATCGTTGTCCGTATTACCACAATTCCACACATATGGTCTCCACTCCGTGTGTATGTGGTTATACACTGGGCAGTGCATGGTCATCTTGCCTCGCTTCGAGCCCGAGTTATACCTCAGTTGCATTCAGGAATACCAGGTAGATATGCAGCGCAGACCTGTAGTTAGTCATCTTAGGGACGGTTCCTTTTTTGTAAAGGTGTACTGTTTTTTACCTCCTTAGTTGATCAAACCCGAAAAAAATGGAGCAGAACCTGGAACCTAGGTCATTTTTTTTTTCAAAACTCAAAGCGTACAATAGAACTATATACACTTCACGTACATACTCAAACACACAAACACACACACACATTTGTACTAGCACAGAACCCATTGCATTTATAATTTGATATAGGGCAGACCTTTTCCATGCAAAAGGGAGGATCTTTTGGACCCTCCATCCCCCTTCCTCGCACCCCCGCCCCCCCCCCCCCCCGCCCCCCGAAAAATTTTATTTAGATTTCTGTTTGTGAATTAGCAACAGCCTTTGGATTACTACATATGTGTCAACTTGAATTCCCCGACCCTTTATTCTTAACGAATATCAATATTTAAAATTTAAAGTAAAAATCCATATATTAAGAGTTGCGTGTGAATTGTGCTTAAAATTATAATTGAAAGCATAATATCTTTGACCTGTTTCAGAAGATTTTATAATACAAACAAAAAACCTAGTCACTACCTGGGATCAAAGGATTAACTTTTTCGTTAGGTCACATTCCTCCCCCTCGTGCCGCCTTTGGTGTTATTCCTGGCGAACCATCCCCTGACGGAGAAATACGACCTCTCCAGCGTCATGGCCGGAAGCAGTGGTGCAGCCGCCCTCAGCGCGAATTTGGCGGAGAAAGTCCAAGAGAAGATTCCAAATTTACTACTTAGACAAGGTGATCATAGAACAATACACATTAGAGCTATTTCAGCTGCATCTTAGGTCATGTGATGTTTCTATACTACTTATGCTATTATACCACTGGTAACAATTAGATTTTAATACCTTCTTGCTAAAAAGAATGGAGCATCTCAATAAAAAATCAATGATGTTTTTTTCATTAAGGACAAAGTTAAGAAAATATTTTATTCCACTTTCGAAACTTAACTTTTTTTCAAAAGCAATTGCTTTAGCCAAGAACATTAATGTTTTTTTAATTCCAAAATTTGCTCGGAGAAAAATTGAGAAAAATTATTATATCTTTAGTTATTGAAATATTCCATACTTTTTAGTAAAAGTCTGTAATCACGCATAACTAATGTGGATTGTTTCGTGTATACTAAAGGTTATGGCTTGACGGAGTGCAGTGTTGCAGCACTTGTGGCAGGCTTGGAGTGGAAAGTGGGTTCTGTCGGCACACTCCTACCTAACACAGAGGCAAAAGTAAGCCACAGGGTCGTAGGGTGTCAAGGATGGGGAGGGGCATCCCCCCCCTCCTGGATTTTTGAAAAAAAATTACACGCATCCTTTTAAAGTGTTAGCCTTTCCCCTCCTCCCAGTCCACTCAAATTTTCTTACTTTAGGTTAGGGCCAGAGGCGGTATAATTAATATATTTGCATGTATGCTGTAGGCCTTCAACACAGCCATCATCTCCCCCCCCCTTTGCCCACCCCACCCACTCCTCCCCCACCCCCTATCCCAGAGCATTTTCTCACCCTAATGCCTTAAATGGCATAGGTCTCTCTCTCTCTCTCTCAAGCAGCCAAATAATCACTTAGTTTACGTGTATTGACGTAGAGAGTATGTTTTTACGCACACATTAACCGCATAACCCTTCATCTTATTTATTACTTAGATCTTAGTTTATCACAACCCTATAGGGCGAAAACATGCTCAAGTAGGTTTTTGTAGATCGTACATAAGCCGTAAAGCCCAATGTAGAGTCTCTGTTCTATTTTATTAATCATTTATTTATGTCGGTACTATTATATTCTTTACAATGACTTTACTCCAACAATACAATAACTACAATACAAAAACTACAATTGAAAATGAGAAATAAAGACTGATATGACGAAGAAATGTAAATAAATGACGAATTCTACAGGTACAAATTACATCCTATATCAACATTTCAATGAATATCAACTTCGGCCATACCAATTTTCAGATAATCGACCTGAAGACGGGGCAGCCCCTGGGCGTGAACCAGGAAGGTGAACTCTGTATTCGTGGACCACAGATTATGAAGGGTTACCTGAACAACCCGGAAGCTACCAAGAACACAATCGACAATGAAGGCTGGTTACATACCGGTAAGCAGCCCCTCTGTGCGTAAATGAAAATGAAATATATGAAAAAAATTACTATGAAATTCAAACATGCTACAGCAGACTCACATAACGAAGACATATGAAAAAATGTACGAAAAAAATTATTTTAAAAATTCAAACATGCTACAGCAGATCTAATTGTCATCTTTCAACATTGTTACACGATTAAATAATTCAGGTACATGTAAATTCCGAATTGAGATTACAATTAATTTCAGAGTTTCCTTTGGTTATCTAATTTTGTGTCGTATCCTACGATATTCTGATACATTATATACATGCATTATTCCGGGGAACCGTAGGGCTAAAAGATTTAATACAATGAAAATGAAATTAATTTTTACTCATTAACAGTAATTAAATCCGATTATTTACGGATTCTAATTTACGCCAGTCTCTATGATAGAGTTTTTGCAATTCACATTCGACAACTACGATCAGAGTTAATTCTACCTCGCTGTCTGTTGAAACACCGTATTCATGAGATGCAAGGAGTTGATGTAACCCCCCCCCCACCCCACCTATTTAGTCTGTACACGAGATTTTATAAAAGTTTTACATGCAGCTGCATGCCGATCGAAGAATCTATCATAGTATTTGAAATTTCCATTTGTGTAACACATGTAAAATTAAATAAAAACATTCTTATTGACTTTTACATTTGTCCCATATACGTTCTGTCCTCTCACTAACCACACAGTACCATTTTTCTGTAGGTGACGTCGGCAGATACGACGAGGATCAACATTTCTGGCTCGTGGATAGGGTGAAAGAACTCATCAAGTATAAGGGTTTTCAGGTATTGTAACAAACGTACTTACCTTTCTGTTGTGTAGTAACGTTTCCAAGCTAAGTCTACCTGCGTTGGTTTAAGTGATAAAGTGACCGATGCCGCAGCCATAAGTACAGAGTACACAAAGCATGCTGAGGCTGCCTTGACGCTGCACGAAAAGGGTGGTAGTGAAGGGTGTTGTTTTGACATGGACAAACAGCCTCCTATTGTAAAAGAGAATATCGTGTTTGTTTTATTCGTAGTCGAGCCAATGGTCCCGGTAATCTAAACTGGACCAAAAAGTTAAAAATATTTACCTTAGCTTATACATTTATTTTATAATTATTAAAAATAACGATGTTTCCGAGCTTTCTGGGCGAGTGAATATAGGACACCCAACGTAATCTATCAGTCGTAGTCTTTGTGTATTCTAGTATAACTAACGCAGCAAGGACATTTGACAAGTTCAAAATTTCCTGTGTGCTTGTATTGCTTTTTTATCTTTCTTTCTTTTTTTCTTTCTTTCTTTCAGGTTCCTCCAGCCGAACTGGAGAACGTGTTGCTCTCTCACCCGGCTGTGACCGATGCCGCGGTCATTGGGTTGCCAGATCAGGCAGCAGGGGAGATCCCTAGGGCCTACGTAGTGCCCGTGCCTGGGTCGAGCGTCACCGTAGACGACATAGAGAAATTTGTTAGCGGTGAGTCTTTTTCGCTTATCACTCGCTCGTGGACATAGTGAGAGTCTTTTTTGTAACAAAGTGAAGAGGGATATTTTATTGTTCAGTGCGGTTATTTGTGAAGATCTGAATAAGTTAATAAATAAATTTATGATTTTGCTGATTTATGAAATTATACAGGTTGATTTGAATAAGAACATATACCGGTACTGGAATTGTATTAATCAAGGGATAGTCACCATAATAAATCATCTTCACCGCCTTTACATGTAATGTGTATAAATCCAAAGTTTGATTTTTCATATTACAGAAAGGGTAGCACCATATAAAAAGCTTCGTGGAGGTGTCGTGTTCACAGATCGTATTCCAAAGTCTCAGAGCGGAAAAATTCTCCGCAGAGAGCTAAAACACCATGCCATGGATGAATTAAAGGCCAAGCTGTAGACGTTCTCTTCGCCAGTAGTGCCAAAATTCGTGATTGGGTTGTGATAAGAAAATTTTCATTTTGATCGAAGTCATGATCCAACGTGATGTTCTTTGACGTTTTTCTTTTCAAAATACCCTCGTTTGCGGTCCGTATTTTGTGCATTCCCTATGATGCTTTTTGTGCATGCTCTAAAGAAAACCAAAGACATGATTTTTTTTGTTTTTAGAAGAGTAAAACTCTAGAGTCAGTCAGTTGATTTTTGAACAGAAAGGCTTGATTTTCTTTAAAGGCGCGCACACATTACAGTACAAGGTGCTCTACTTTGATACAGATAGCGTTCTTCTTGATTAACTTAACAGCAAAACGCGAAAATATAAAAAAAAGTGAAAAGTGAGATAATTAAACAGACGTAGGCACACACTGGCATAAAGACGAAATATGAAGAAAGTAAGACTTGAATGACTTTTTTCGGTGATTCTTTAAAATTATCATTCAAAAGCATATCAAAGACACATCCTATGCATTGTATTTTATTATTATTATTATTATGTTGTTGTTGTTGTTGTTGTTGTTGTTGTAAAAGTTTATGAAAAATGGACGTTTGCAAGCGAATTTACGTTAAATCATGTTAATAAAATATACATACGAAAGGAAGTTTTTCAAAGCGGAAACACGTAATTGACAAAACCATTCATAGAAAGTGAAAATAAGGTTGTTATTAGATAGTTGAAAGTAATGTTAATTGAATATGACATAAGTGCAATACTGATATCAAATAGCTAAGTGAGTCATTGATAATAAACAGGCATAAAATAAAAGGAAAACTGAGGCTGTGTTCAGATTAAAAGTTATCAGTCCAGAGGGATCGATCTATCTCCGGATGGATTCTGGCTTAAAAGTGCACTCAATATAATCAGCTCTGTACCGCCCCCTCCAGAAGCTAGGGGGGTAATAATCTTTCGTAGCTCCTGGTGGTTTTACAGATAATAGAGATTTTGACTGTAATAGATTGTAATGGGGCTCCTTTCACCGCTCTAAGTAAAAATCTGTGTGTGTGTGTGTGTGTGTGTGTGTGTGCGCGTGTGTGTAGTATATATGTGTTGATTTTTTATTAGTGTCGAAAATAAACTTGAAAAAAAGTAGTACATTAAGAAGTATTGATTTAAGTAGAATTTGCCTGAAACGCGAAGCGTGACTTTTCTTAATAAAACATACGTGACATTACACTTGACTGATTTTTTTCTGAGCCAATTACAAGAATTAGTCTAGCTTGGGCCAGTTTTTCTTCTAGAGCTTTCTTTTTATTGAAACAAACCCCTATTCTTGTCTTAAATTTAAATCCTATATTTCTTTTTCAAATACCTCACCTACATGTACTACATTGTACCCTCAGTATATATCTCCAAAAGTATAAATGCTATCTAAAAGTAATAACATAAAAACTTAAAGGATACTTTTAAAGTTATGTATTCAAGAACTGCTTGTCGGAAAGACAACCTAGCTAATATACCTGTATACATATAACGCGCACTTAGATGGATTCAACACCCCGAGAATCGAGATATTCAAGTTCGTTTTATGATCACCATATCCAAATATAACTATGCCAAAGAGACCTCTTACGCAGGGCAAGGCCAAATGGCTGACGTGATAAAGCACTCTTCTCGTGTGACAGCAGTCACCTGCTTTGTTCTATTTTTAGATTGGAAATACCGATTCATATAGTAGTGATCAAAATATACAGATATCACGCTGTAAAAATTTCCTGACGGGGCCTCTGCTGAACTGGGAGCCCTTTGTAGGCCTACTTTACAAGTATTGTTATAATTGTAAGCGTCAAAAGGATTTAAATCTGTATTGTTGGTAGTTACATGTATCACACACAGTGGCAAAAGTACCGTACATGTAGATGAACATAGCGACAGCATATTGGGACACTCGCACGCTTTGAGCTGCGTGTATTGTTAAAGGTAAATACATACCTGTATATATAGGTCTCTAAAGGTAAACTCGCATATCAACCTGGTACATGTAGCACTACATTGTATAAGGCGTGTGATATTTATGGGTAAAATATCTGCATTAGCAGTAAAGCATAAAAAGTTGCTGATATGTTTTTTTAGTTTACTTTTCTGTGAAACCGGTGAATTTCTCGACACGAATCCAAACGGTTGTGTAAGTCTTAACCAAGGCGACCATTGCACATTCAGGTGCAGTGCATGTACCTACTTTAAAATGAACAGACACCATGCATTATTTTGAGATTATTAATTTTATATGAGGTTTAATTCAGTGTCGACTTTTTTCTTTATATCTTAAATTTTCTTGTATCATGAAGCATGCTGATTAATTCGTCTGGGAAACCGAACTACAAGACATCGAAAAATTCAAGGGCCAGAGAAGCACTTTTTTGCCTGGACAGGAAGAGTTCAAAGGTTAGGATCCGGTTAATGCTCATATGCTAGTTTTTTTTAACAGATAGGATAAAGTTTTAGGCAGATACATGTACCACGATCTTTTTCAGGACTTGATTTTTAAGCGGACACACATTGCAGTTCTTCAACTGTTGAAGTAGGTTCCTGTAGGATTGGAGGAAACTGGATTTTTTCTTCGCTGAACGCATACCGGTATGCGGATACAGGATTTTCCTTAGGAGGGTGGATAGGATAAACGCTTGCATGATTAATTACGTTAATGTAAGTAGGGAAGACCGGGGCTAGTTGGACCCCGGGGTAAGTTGGACCCCCCATCAATTTATGACAAAGTAACTATGGGGTAAAAGAATTCGAATTGATCACATCATTTTGTAAAGTGACCGTATCCAATAGTGCTAAGAAAGCGTCGGCAGTGAGTCCAAATGAAATAATTTAGCATCTTAAAGTAACTTTATTAAAGAGACTTGATGGGGGGCCAACTTACCCCGGGGTCCAACTAGCCCCGGTCTCCCCTACGAACCCCAATACTGCGACTGACAACCTGTACTAATCATATGGGACCCCGGAGTTCCATTCCTGGGACTGCCATTCCTGCCACAACTGCTTTTTAACTTTTATCATTGCAAAGTTCACCTCACTTCAGGCATATCTCGTACGTACTCTCGTCTCGTATGACGTCATCGGGTACCGACACACCTGGTTTTACAATACCGGGCATCGTTTAATTCCTAAGATATATTTAGTCGAAGTCTATCCTAAGCATTTTGACAGAAATTTTGTGAATTCTGAGCTTGAATAACTAGATAGCCCCAGACATATGTGGCTTTCAAATTTATATTTCTGATGTCTGATATGTTTTCTTAGAATTACCATTTTAGTATAATTATACATATACTATTCAACTTTTTAGTTGCAAATAAATATTATTAAAATTATTATTATTACTATTATTACCATTATAAAAACAACTCATCTAGTTCCTTATTTGTGTCTTCATTAATGGTTTTAGCAAAGGCGACCCCGGTTGCACCCAAATATCACGCTGAAGAAACTGAAGACGTCTTTGGATCCAAGAACCCATGGGCATAATAATTTTTTGTTAACGAGGCACAGCGTCCGACTTCACGTTAGCATTGAGCACATGAGGGACCACAACAGGCCTCCGAAAAGATCATATCATGAAGACGAAAACGTTCTTATGACAAGGAATCACAATATCAACAGAGATGTCTAAATGTCTATAGGTCAAGAGACCGTTGTAACAGGAATGGAAGTCCGCTAGGAACCGTAGTCCGCTTCCCATTACATTGTACAAGTGACATCCGTCCCATATACTAACCCCAATACTCCAACTAACCCTAACCTGTACAATTCATATGGGACCCCGGACTTCCATTCCTAGGACTTCCATTCCTGTCACACCGCCACCTTGTGGTCATCTTGATTATTTCATTTGTAATTTTGATTTCATATCAGCTTTGTGTTGCTCGTTAGCAATGGGGGAGGGGGGGGGGTTACATCTCGGGGTAGAACTCGTCAGGAGTTGGACGGCAGTACCAGGTACAGCTCACGTAGTCAGTCTGGTGGCTGGCGATTTTGCTGGGAAGGCACGTGTGCTCGGGCCCGCACGTGCAAGATCTGAAAGAAAAGTCCAACATATTTTGCTCTGAATCCATTAGTTCACATTCACATGTATATCAAACTAAAGTGGACAACTGCATGTAACTTATGCAAAAAGACTGTCTTTAGCCTACATGTACAGATTCTGAAAACCGGTTTTGTTATCAGTACATGAAGATGCATAATAATAATATCCAAAAACACGTGTGGACTTCTGGCATTAGTTGTCATAGCAAACAAGTAGAAAAACAAATTGTTTTATGGTGTTGATTCAACACCCAGTTTGTGTCTGATTTCTAGTATTATCAGTGTTACAATTATGCCATAAAATGTTTCCTTTCTAATTCAAGTAAAACCGATTGTCATTCATGGTTAAGGGAATTTAGGCCTTTAAATTGGAATCCTTTACCTCAAAATGCAGAGAATTTGAAAGGGGATTGTATTTTGGATCGAAGTTTAATCACATGAATTTAATGTCAGCAAACTATGATCAAATTATATTATTATCACGGTTGTAGGGTCGACATATCAACACTTAACCAACGTTAAATTTGTTTTGATCAGCGCCTTAAAGTAGCAGCATTGTAACTGAAAATCATCATTTTAAGTGACCCCCCCCCCCCCAACGGAATTTACCCACCAAAATGTATTTCATGGGGTAAAGGGCAATTTTTAATTTTTAATTCTTTAATTCAGTTCTAAATGATTGCCCAGTCATTAAGAAAGAACATCCAGTAGCTTTCCTGACCTTTACCTTCATAGCCTCGTTTTCACACATATTTTGTATCGCGGCCCTGTATCACATATGGCGCAGGCGTTGAGAGTTGCCATGCAGGGTGAGAAGATAATTACGACAGTAGGTATGCTTCAGATAAACCTTTCTATAATGGTTTTTATCGCCTTTAAGGTCTAAATTGAGAAATATATAAAAGGTCTGCAGAGCATAAATATGACTGTTTTTTTTTTTTTCAAACGCATGGAGAGTCAATTAATTTTTTGTTGCGTGTCTACTAAGGGTGGTTCTGATATGTTCCGTGATGCACCAGAGCTAACCTATAAAGAACAGCTCTACTGGTAATAGTTGTGGTATCGTTATTGCAATGCAATTAAGAAAACTAATAATACGAATAAACACCAAGTGAGGCTAGCCATACAGCATGTTGCATGCCTTCTTGAAGGCATTGAATACAATTCTAACGCCAGATTGCACACAATGTATACGTATTGATTTCAACAAAAATCACCACGATACACAATCCAACCAAATTTGATGTTATTCATTCCCAAAAGTACGTTTGACTTGGTTTTCTGAATCCGATCCGAAATAGAGGGCCCCGTTGGTTATTTTTTTACCTTTGAAAGGCACTTTTTATTTCCCGAGATGCGCAAATAGTTCATGTTATTAAGCATGATCCGTGAAGCAGCCCATTCCCATAACTAGTAAAAACGACTTTGTATTCTTCGCCCTTCGTAATTTTCAGGATTTTTGACTGGCATTATCAGTCAGATATGAATAAAGTTTTATTTTACCGTGATTCGTGAATTGATGGTTTTATTTTCCATGAACATGATCAATTTTCCCAAATGGGACCTTCGAAAAAACTTACCCGCAAACTTCTGAGAGGACATTGTCTCGGTATTCATTCGGTCTGCACTCCAAGTCCCTGAAATTCGGTTGCCAACGTATCGAGGTGAACTTACAGGCTTCTTGCTGCTGGCAAATTCTTTCACTGCGACACTGGAATACAGGAAAAATATCATTTGATGTTGTCAAAATTTTGCACTTGAATTCTAGTTAAACAGCGATAATTTATATTTAAATACCTGGCTAAATAATAATTGTATTATATGTACACGTAATTGGCTCAGTTTTAATCTATGAAATAGAATTTTGCTTTATACATATGTGACGGAACGGCAATTGGATTCTAGCGTTCCCCTTCCACGCTGGTGGCATGTTACGGAATGAAAACTAAACTAACTTCTGTCAATTTTTTCAGTAATTGCAAATTAAAACAAGGCAGCAAAGCTGTCAAATGTACAGACCAAAATCAGGAAATAACTATGCACAAAATAGGCTACTGTCAATTCTGATGCAAAAGTACATTATGTTAAACTGCAAATTCAACATCAAATTTTAATTATGCTCAACAGGTAATACTAATGTAAGTAAAATGTGTAACCAGTTCACACTTTGAAAATGTATAACTTCCAGAAAAAGAAGTTAATTAGACTGCTTTTCCAACACAGGCTGCATTTTTAGTCCTGTATTTCTTTTTTGAAAGTTTGGCAATCATAAGTAACATGGTTTTCCCATAATGGTCATCATGGCAGCAGCACCCAAAATTGTGTTTTCTTCTATTCTGATGCCATATTACATAATGGTAACAGCATAATGACCGTCAATTTTTAATAATAAAATATACGTATCATGGATTTTCAGAAAATGTGACCAGCATGGGTCTTCAAGCCCGTGGAACTCCAAAGTCACACCTTGAAAATGCCAATATGTGAAAAATTAAATTTTCACAAAAAAAAAACTGTTTAACTGGCAGTAAGAATTACAAAACAGACTGCATTGCCTACTGAAACTGTATTTTAGTCCCATGTTTCTTTCCTGTAAGTTTGAGAACAGTAAGTGACATGGTTTTTCTTAAATAGTCATCATGGGAGCAGTGCCCAAAATATTTTTTTTTTCAAATTTTGATGTAATATTGCATAATGTTTAACAAGCATAATGACCATCAATTTTAATAATAAAATATTATTTTTTCATTTTTAACAATTTTTAACATAAAAAAATTAACAGGTTACTGCCATTTTTATACGATCAACTAAGAAAATTGATGACATGGGAAAAATATCAATAGAGCAGTGTTAAATATCCAATTTCTTCCATTCTGAGATTCTGAACATAGTGAATGATTGAATGTGACAAACTGCAATGATATGAGTTTATTTCCATTTTTGAAACTTTATTAACA